TAACTTTAGTAACAGAATTTTTGCCAACACTGATAACATTTCCTCAGTAAAGGTTCATTTTTGCTTAATATTTTTTTCTAAGTCTGCAGTAAAGGAGTATCTAAAGTTGGTTCATAAAAATAGGTAGACCTGAGACTTAAAATGAGCACAGATATACAAAGAGCAAGCAGGTGTAAGTGGTCAGAAGAGAAGAAAAAGCAACAATACAAACTGAGACGGTCCAGAAGGATCTCTTGTTAAAGTTTAACACAAGGAAGTTGTTTGTGCTGCCTATGGCATTCTTTGCTGCAGGGGTCGTATAGTTAAACTGCTCAGGTTTACACTGTGTGCCGTTCTCGGCAATTTCTGTGATTTACTTGTTTTATCATCTTCTATCTTGGTAGAGGAAATTAATATTTAGGCTGTACTCTGATTCTGAAGGCTGGTTTTGGCCTTAACTCATGCATCTACTGTCTCAACTAGTGCTGATAAAATTATTTGGTGAATTTGGATAAATGAAAATTTATTCAGATTTACTGAGGTAAGAGAAGGAAGGCAATGTAAAAAGAAGCTGATGGGATAATAAGCTCTGTTACCGATACAGCAGAAAGGAAAAAGGCATAAAGAGCAGCTCAGATGTAAATGCACAGCATTGTCAACCAGTTAAAAGGGGTGATTGTCCCACATTGCTCTGCACTGGGATGGCCTCACCTCAAGTGCTGAGTGCAGTTTGGGGTATTAGAATATAAAAAAAGACAGTAAGTCATTAGAGAGTGTCCAAAGGAGGCCAACAAGGATGGTGAAGGATCTACAGGGGAAGCTGTATAAGGGGAGTAACTGAGGTCACTTGATCTGTTCAGCCTGAAGAAGAGGCGATTAAGGAGACACTTCATTGCAGTCTACAACTTCCTTGTGAGGGAAGAGAAAGGGCAGACACTGATCTCTGCCCTGTGGTGAACAGCGACAGGACCTGAGGGAATGGCCTGAAGTTGAGCTAGGAGCAGTTTAGGTTGGATATCATGAAAAGATTCTTCGCCCAGAGGGTGTTTGGGAACAGACTCCCCAGTGAAGTGGTCACAGCATCAGCCTGACAGAGCTCAAGAAGTGTTTGGACAATGCACTCAGGCCCATGGTGCAACCCATGGGGTGTCCTGTGCAGGACCAGGAGTCAGACTCAATGATCCTGATGGATCCCTTCCAACTCAAAATATTCTATGACTCTATGAAATAGGTCAGTTTGAGGTAGATCTGGTAGAATTAATGTCTGCTGTGGAATATTTTTGGTAACACTTTTGGGTTTTCTTCAGTAATCAAAACTTGTAAAAGTGTGGTATAACGTAGAAAGCTTAACAGGAAAACCTCAGGAGTGGCTGGAAATGGTAGGAAGCTTTGACAATATGCTAAAATGTAGTGAAAAGGCAAGTTGAATGGAATACAGTGCTTCACAAAAATAAGTTTAAAAAGGAATCAATGTATCCTAAATTTAGTGTTGTTTTTCTCAGCATATCAACAGAAATAAATAACAGAAAGATGTAATATGTTATTAGGTTTTCCAAAATCCATTTGAAATAATTTAAGAATCTAGGTGTGATAAATGTGATTCGTGCTAATTAAATTGTAACTATATAGCAAAATTGTATTTAGATCAATAGAAGACAATTGTTACAGAGTGAGAGGGGAGATGGGTGATACAGGACAAAAGACATCTTCCAGATGCCGGGAGTCGAAGAAGGAGGTTAGAAGAGAGTCAAACAGAAATAGTAGAAGGACGTAAGTCTGATAAGCAGCATCTAGAAATAGAGCTTCAACCTTGAAATAGGCCAAAATGGGACAATTCCAGACATGGGATTTAATTAGAGTCTTGTTTTGGAAAACATCTGTTCAGTCATATACTGTGCCTGCGCTACCTGCGGGTCACACTTCAGTCACTGAGGAAGACGATGACCCTTCATCAGAAATAAGACCCTCAAAAGGATGAGAGACCCCTAACCCATTAGTAGAGCATGTGCCGTACAACATAGTGACGTAGATTTTAGGAATAGAAACTAGGAGGAGTTTTCTAGAAACTTCTGTAGCATATCACATATAAGTGGGATTATTACCCTTGATGCTTTGGTATGTGAGGAGGAGCAAGTCTCTTCCCGTATCTCCTGTTAGAGGGCGGGGGGCCCTTCCCAGTCGGTTTTGCTTATGCTTTGTACAAACCTCAATTATACTAAATTACTTACTGCCAGATTTTGTATATTCTCAAATATATGCACTTTGATTGTATTCATCTCCAATACTTTAATTTTATACATTTATAATTGTTACTATTAAAAATTTGCTGCTACATTTATCTTGTTGCTTGATAAATTGTAAAAATAGAACATCATTCATAACATAGGCAACAGAAGATAAAAGATGGATAAGGTTAATATAAACCACTAGGAATGTGTGAGTCCAGACTGCATGTGATAAATTCTATACCTCACTGAGTAACTTGTTAGGAGGCTACCACATTGAATACAGCCTTTTATGAATGGTCCTATTTCTCCTTTGTCACCCTTCTTTTAATTCTGACATCTATTTGAGATTGTTGAGTTTGCAGGCTGATGCCAGAAACAATGAATTGGTTGTATTTGCATTGCATTATAAAGAGGGACACTAATTCGATAATGCTGATGAGAAAGCTTGTACATCTTAAAGGAAAAGTAGCAGCCAAAATGAAGTTCAGTTTTGAGACCTTGATCAATAGGAAGCCCAGCTTCCAATGGTTTCCTGTTAGAGCTTATTCTGACAGAAAAGATGAACAGTCACACTGAAAAACAGCTGGTGGTTGCCAGCATTCAACAGCCTAGCTTCATTTGTCTTGTGCAAGCAGAATATATCATACCTTTTATAGGGTCTTACAGAACCTTGAGTTTTAGGGGGAAAAAGCCAAGCCTGCAGCCATTTGGGCCCTTCAACAGCTTCCACAGTATCTTGTCCCTCTCTCAGAGCTCCAGGAGTGGCAAAGGATGGTGTGTTCAGTAGCTGCACTCACAGAAATCTGCAGGCATAGCTTAGTTTAAATCGGTGACCTCATCTCTGTTCAGCAGCTTCTAGTAGCTGTTCTCTGTGCTTGTCTTGGTGATTTGAGCAGAGCCCTGGTATCTGCAGCTCCATCAAATGACTCAGAGTGCCAAGTAGTCACAAAGGAGCCCTGTTTTCACAGGACTGGCACTGGCTGTGTTTGTTTCCCTCTCTGTAAAGCTAAAATTGCCTTCAGCTGCCCAGCAGTCATATCATTGTAGAGACATCACTAGCAGTGTAAGGCATGGGGACAAGATCAGTTCAGAAAATGAACATGAAAAGTACTGTTGGCAAGAAAAATGTAATCAGTAGGTTTGAGTGATTGGAAGTTCGTGGGAGTATTCAGCTGTGTATTCCCAAAAATAACTTCTTAAGTTCTGGATTTTTTTCTCTGTTCACAAAATGGAAGAAAGCCCCCAAACTAAACCCAACCACCAAACAAAACAGAAACACCCCTTAAAATCCCAAACCATAAAGACAAAGTCTCACACTATCAAAACAAAAGCAATCCAATCTCCAGACTCTTCTTTTCAAACTGTAAAATGAAATTAGCTGTGCTAATTTCTTCAGAGAAGAAAGGGGAGTGAAGATAGATGAAAAGCACAAAACCTTGATAATGATGACTGAAGATGTCAGTGGACTATCCAGAACCAGTAGAATTAAATACTCAGATTAGGACACTAAAGCCTTCAGATATTGCAGGAGGGGTAATTCAAACTTCAGCAGTGTATTTTTCAGTAGCAGTCATGGTACAGAAATGGCTGCTGTTTTTAATGTACGAACAGGGGACTCAGGAAACCTCCTCAGAATGTATAATTCAATTCCCTTTATTTTGCTGGCAAACTTATTGTTTAGTTATTACTATAAAATCATTAAGTACTGATAAAATTACTTCAGATCTGCCTTTCAAACAATAGCAAATACAGTTTAGTGAGTAGAAATTCTTTAGCAGTCTATTGAGGTCAGACAGCAACTGTCAAGTGCTCTCAGGTTGTTCAGTGATGTAGTATCAAATGTAGCAAAAAAATTATTTTAGGTGTGAAGATATATTTTTTACTTGGAATACTTTAAATTGCTGTCCCAATTCCACCAACTCCATCAGTTGTTCTTCCTGAAGGAAGGCAGCACACTCAGTATCATCACCCCTTATTTGGGAGAAGTGGTACTGAAAGCATTGAGGGGAAGAATCTCACAAAGAGTAGGGCCCTGAGAGAGGACTGGGAACCAGTACAGCAGCGTGTCTTGCATAACATGGAGCTGGCTATGGGTTCATTGAGATATCTTTCCTAATATCATAACATTAATTTATCTGATGTAATTATAAACTTCTGCCTGGAAAAAGAAACAAAAACAATTGGCAAGTCCTTTGATTTTGATTTTTACTTATTTTTAGGGTGTGAAATCATCAGCTGTCATGCGATTTAAGTTAAATACTATTTGAGGATGCTTGTTTTAACAGAGTAATTTTTAACAATGCTTTTACTGAAGTAAGGTTGGGTTTCCAGAGGATACACTGTGTGAATAAAAGGATTTAAAACTTTCGATTTTCTTATAATAAACAGCAAAGTCACACTGATATTAAAAGTCGTATATTCCTGTTGTTTGCCACTCACCATGCCTAGCATTATTTTTTAGAAAAGCCAGACATTCAGAAGCTAACTGGAACACTTTCAGAAGATGTAATTGAAGTCATTCGCACAGTTTTGAAGATGGAAAGCTTGCTTTCTTTTTAACCTGTTGAAGGTTACTATTTTCTTCCATTTCAACCTTATGCATTTGTTGTTAGTCTTATAAAATACTCAGAAATGCACTTGAGGCTTTAAAATATTGTGGCCTACTTAAACTCAGCTGTTATTTTTGACTGACATGTATATTGCATCTGTTTCAGAAAATATCTTTAAGCATTAGAAAATCTCCATTGGGTGTTTAATCTTTTTTACTTTCTGTTTTTTTCCCCTCTCCTGTAGTTCTCCTGCCTTTGATAGATCGTATGGGAGATGCCAAAGACCAAGTTCGAGAGCAAGCACAGAATCTTATCTTGAAATTGATGTGTGAAGCAGCACCACCCATGGTATGATTGCTTAATGCAGATTCAGATGGAGGCCTCCAGTGAGACTTTTGTATGAACTTTGAACATGTCACAATGTTAATGGTGACTGTTTGTGGTGTAAATGTTAAAGATACTCCTAACAGATTGACACTGATGTATTGCTCAGCTAAAGATAAAAATCTTGGCACAATGTGATTCTGCATATTTTGCACATCATAGCTGAATTCTGAGTAGGTATTTTTATGCTATGTGACAAGGCTTTGTTAATTAAAGCATGTTTGATGCATATTCTGGATTTGGACAATAGTAATAAATAAATTTAATTAGCTCCAAATTTATTTAAAACGAGATTTGTACCTGAACATGTAGGACTAGTCTAACAAGTTATGGTGCACATTTTCTAGCTTAAGAGAATCTGGCTTTCTAGCTGTATGACAACGATGCTTTATGAACCATGGACAAACTGAGGTGGGGATAAGTTGCCCTCTGGCTTGTCGGTTTTGGTTGTAAGGAGGCTTGCTTGTCTAAACCTTCAGGTCTATGCATTATGTGGCTTCTGGCTTCTGAGTGCTTTATCTTATATCTTGACTATGTGAGTCTGAAAAATGGAGGACTGTTTAACAAGATTATATTCTTGAATGGCTATGTTATTTGGAAGTCTGGAGACCCTGGATATGAGTAGGAACTTACTATTTGAGTTTCTAATTCCTGAGGAAAATCTGAGTTCTAGTTCTAGAGGTTAATAGGGAAAAAAATGAGGGTTTGTATGTGCTGATTCCTGGCTTTGTTTATTCATAGATACAAGTTTGAATGATTATGTGCAGTGCATAAGATGTGGACTTTATCTGTAGTGAGAAAATTATTGTCAGTTGTTTTATTCGCCTGTTAAAACATGTAGGATGCTAGGCTATTATAGAACATGTTTATCTCCCTTTGACTACAGATCTGATTGGGGTTTAGGCATCAGGGTCTAGTAATATCATCCACATCAATACATATACATCCACACAATAGCCTTTATCTATTCACAGGCTGCAGTGTCAGTCATATTCACTGAACAAGATACATGGCAGTATTTTTTTGTGTCAAAGTGCCAGTATTTCATAAATGATATGTTACTGTGCCCAAGATGCTCCCAAATACCTGCATACAGACCAGAACCTCTATAGCACAGCAGAGCATCTTGGAGATACCTTCATTTGAACAGTTGCTGATAAAGAAATTGATGGGTGTTGCTTTATGCTAAGCCCTTATCAGGAAGGTTTTACATTGTTGGCCATCTTTGTTTGTGCAGAGTTGTTAGGCTGTACGTAGAGGCAATGTAAGGAAGCTTTCATCCCCTATGAAGATGACTCTCAGTGTCAGAAAGCATACGAGGTTTGTGGGTGTTTTGGTTTGAAAGACAGGTGTTTGTTAAGAAAGGCAGGGAAATGGACAATGTAAAACCCCTCCCTTCAAATTTTAATTTTGAAATTAAGGAGCTTTCAGGCAAAGATACAGGAATAGGAATGACAGTTCTTTACTAGGAAAAATTAAAATAAAAATACAGTAATACAAAGGAAAAAAAAAAGAACTAAAACACTGACAGAGTCAGAATACAACCTGACGCCCCATCAGTCAGAGTGCTGGTAGCAGTCCAATTAAATGGTAGCTTGCAGTCCTCTTGGAGTGACAGATGTGGTTCTGTTGAAGCAGTGGTCCTGTAGAAGGGTGCAGTTTTCCTCTGAAGGTCCAGTGATGATGTGGAAAGGTCTGGTTTTCCTTTGGAATTCAGTGGAAAAAGTCTGCCCTGATGTTCCAAATCTTAGGTTTTTTTCTAGGTAGGAAATGCTTGGCTCTTCCCCCTGAGTGGGGTATCTCACAATGGGATGATGTAATTTTATCAGTTGTGCAGTGGGACTCAATGGCCCATTAACAGAAGACATCTCCCTGAAGGAAGGATGGGTTGTGGAAAAGGTAAAGAACACTATCCCACCTGGTTTTAACAGATGACTTATTAAGAAGATATCTTCCCTGGAGATAAAGATCATTACCCTATCTGGTTTCAACAGATGGTGATAGAATACATACTTTTGATTACATTCTGCTTTATAAGCCAAGACAGTGGGGTCCAAGGAAGATCGTGTGTGTAAGACAAGGTATGACTCTCCTGGTAACTCCCTCAAGGTGGGAGAAGCCTGGCTTTGTGGTTGTCTGCTCTCAGGAGAGCTTATGGGTCATTACAGCTTTGGATGAAAAGCATCAATCATCCTCACAGCAGGGACCAAAACAGAGAAGAAGTATTTCATGTGCCTCCAACACTGAAATACAGAGCTTTAGGCTCTCTGCTGCAGAAAAGCATCCCTTTAGAAGAGCTGAACGGAATAATTTTTTGAGGATATGTCCTGTAAATTTCTTTCTAGTCAATTCATCTTGCCTCTTCTAGCATGTTGTTGAATAATATTTAATTTGTCCTGTTGTTAAATCCCTTTACTTGTTTTAGATGTTTGGGGGTTTTTTTGTTTCTGAGCAAGAATTAGATGTATATGTTTATGGGTGGAAGGCATAAACTTACAGGTGGTATAAATGTGCATGAAAGGAACAAAGAGAGGTTGATATCAGTTCCTGCTAGGAACTTCTGAGAATTAAAATTTCTAAGCAGCGTTTGAATTTCTCTGCTTAAAAAAATTCAGTTCTTAATGGATAATTCAGTGAAAAACCAACTTTTTCTTTGGTCTGCTTTGTTTGTCTCAGTAGTCTGCAGTTCCCTCTCTACCTGTTTTTTTAATACATATAGCAAGGAGATTTCCTTATTCCCGTGTTTGTCCATGACAGTGGGTTAATTGGAAGGATGTTTTCTTCCGTAAAATCTTGTTCTTTGTTGTTAAGCTATGCAGTTTTGGCATGCCATATCTTTCTCGTCTAAGGTTTGTTTGCTGTAAATGCAATAAAGTATAAAACAAACAAACAAAAAACCGTAGATGGGACAAAATTATCAAGCAGGGCTCTAATTAGAAAATTTTATGTCTACTCTGAAGAGTGCTACCTCATTAATAAAGAGGTTGCATAGTCCCTTCTGTTATGCTCTGTTTTTGTTGATCAACAGCTGTTCGTGAAGGCTTTTTTTTTCTCCCCAGAAAGCCGATTGCAATAATTAGTATGTAATACATTTTAGCAGCTTTGTGTGGCGTCATTATAGATTGCGGTTGCAGTACTCCGGAGTGCAGTTGGCAGGAGGGAGGTGCCTGAGCTGCAAAGTGTGCAGCTCCTGGCAGTGTTCAGCCATTCATCGCTAGGAAACACTGCCCGGATGTTGGCCAGGCTGCAATGGTAGCGCTGCAGCTTGGATGAGTTGCAGGCTGAGCCCACGTCTGCTCCCAAGGAGAATCCCCGAGCTCCTCAGCTCCATGTTTATGCTTCTAACGCCCTGATACACAGCTAGAGCACAGCAAGGAGGTGGAAAGGTAATGGGATAAAACCAGGAGGCAGAGAGCCAGAGCAGGCAAGAAAGAAAAACGATTGTTCAAGGAGGTGAACGAGGGTTTAGGGAGCCAGGGGATCATACCACAGGAAGTGGCACCAGCGTGGAGAGGAGAACCAAAAGCAGAACAACAATGGAAGCACGGGAATTAGAATGAGGGGGCAAGAAATACTAAAAAAATAAAGAAATAGATCAAAAGCAAAAGTAAGGGCGAAATGGGACACCAGGAGTATAGATAAGGACAATTTTAAATGGATATGAGTAAATTTTGGCAGGGAAACAGAATATGAAGCAAAAATAAGATAGTAACTTCTATAGCCTAAGTCAGTAGTTTGTAATGTTAATCTTTGTTTTGTGTGCATTGACTGTAACAATTCTGTATGTTTTAAGAGCTATTTCTCAGACAAGGAAAATACTCAGCTGGATTGCTGAAGGATATTTTTTAGGAGTTGGTTTTGGCGTTGAATTAATCTGTGTTGTTTTCCATATTGTGCATTTCATAAGTTAATTGTATCACTTTTCCAGTGGACATACCTTTTGTTAATTTTTTTGCAACTATTATGAATGTAATTACATGGAATAGAATTACATTGTATTGTGCTCCTGGTAATTAAAGACCATTATTTCTGCTTTTATAGTGCATTTGGGAACGCCTTGCTGTTGGTTTTAAACACAAGAATTACCGATCCCGAGAAGGAGTGTGTTTGTGTCTTGTTGCTACCTTAAACATGTAAGCTTTTTGTTTCTATGAAGATGTAATGGTTCTATCCTTCTTCTGAATATCATTTTTCTCTGAAAGTAATTCTTTAGGGAGTCTGGTTCAATTAAATTAATACATGGGAAAAATCAAATTAAGTAGCAGGCTTTCTGAAAGGAGGACTAAAGTTATGGAATTTATCTTATTTAAAAGTAGATGAAGAACTAGATAAGAGAGAGACAGAGCTTGATTTATGTCAGTTTGTATTCTACAAAATCTAAGCCAAAAGTTCACTTCTGCAAAAATTTTCTGGTTTTTTTCTTTAAAAATACACTTCTTTTTTTTTTTAGTTATGGTGCACAACCATTAATCCTCAGCAAATTGGTACCACATCTGTGTATAGCATTTGGTGACTCCAACAGCCAGGTAAGGATTTCAGTACTTACTGGCCTTTGAACAACTATAGTTTGACAGAGCAGTGAAAGCAAAATAAATATAAACATTTAAAGAAAAGCTGTTACGAGTGCTTGTGTACAGCAGATCATTATTTTCTACCATCAGTAAAAGTAAACCAAATTTCTTCTTAATTGGTCCATCCACTGGAAGATTAGAGTTGCAAAGGCAGCAGTATCGTGATATACTGGTCCCTTTATTTTTGTCTTCACAAGCTGAAACTAGTAATTACTGAAAATAGTTGTTTCTTACAGTGCATGTTGAAAGGAAATAAATAAAAAAATAAGTTATTAACAAAAAATTACCTGCAGAAGGAGCCCTTATGAAACTTGTGATAGTTGGCCAAATTTTCTGAAGATAACATTATTATGTGTAATTATTTTCCAACTGGAAACCAAATGGCATTTGAGAACATGCAAGGACTGTCATTAGAACCATTAAAGTAAGCAAAAACATCTGCAGTGGAAATCAGGAAGTAGTTCATAATGGTGACATCTGAACTTCAAAAAATCTTCCAGTGGAAATGGTTAAAATATCTTGATTTATCTGAACTTGTGTTTGAGGGAAAAGACTGAATACAGTAAGGGAGACGATAACATTGGTAGGAGATGGGCTTGTAAACAGGATTGGTCTTTATGCATAATTTCTGAATGCAGAAAATTCTTGTCTCCTCTGTGCTGCATTGCATTGTTCTGTTCTAGAGAAATTTTGTTGAGAATTAGTTCTGTTTGCTGATCATTAGTAAAGATGTAGTTCACATCTTGCTAGAGCCAATTGTGTGTTTAGTTTGAACTGCTGCAAAGAACAATAATAAAGTTATTCCAAACATTCTTTAAGGAGAATAATGGCATTTACTAAAATGTATTTTTGGCAGTTTTTATTGGGATGACTATGGTTTAAAAATTTTCAAGAGGCACTCTGTCTCCTTTCTTTAACTGTTCTATCCCCTTCCACTGTCCTTCCCTATTCCCTTTCTTGTGCTGATGTCATGCCACCTGATTCCTGTTGAAATAAATAAAGAAAATGGTGATCACTTTGGTCCATTCTTGGGCAGTCTTAGTCTTCCAGAAGGACCTTGCTGTGGGCAGAAATACATGAAAGCAAGATGAAATGTCAAGACAGTGCAGGAGCTAACTTTTGGAAGTATTGCCTGCTGTGAGCAAGTTCTAGCCCATTTTTTTCCAAAAATGCTATTCTTATTTCAGACCCAGAAATGCCCTCTAAAGCTGTTGATTTCTAGGATTTTTTTGCCATCTGGGGATGTTCTAACTTGGAACAAATGCCATCTTGATATCATAGTATCATATTTCCTTTCCTTTTCATCCTCATTGTTGCAACTGAATTGGCACACAGGGCCATAGAAACTGTAAGATTAGTGGCCTATTGGTTTCTGTAACCCTGAAACTGACAATTTAAACTGTGTTCACAGGTGAGAGATGCTGCCATATTAGCCATTGTAGAGGTTTATAGACATGTGGGAGAGAAAGTACGAATAGATCTTACAAAAAGAGGAATTCCTCCTGGAAGGTGAGCCAGCTGTTCTGATTTTGTAATTCTGAGCCATTTATTTTACTGTTCATTATCTGAACTTTAAACTCTCTGAAAACTCTGTAAAATTACAGTAATTTTTATTTTATATTCTAGTTACTTTTGCATTTCAGTATGATGTTACTAGAGTTCCTTGCTGTGTTGTATGTTGATTAGTTTATATGAAAGAAAATAAGCCATTATTTTGTTTCTCCCTTTGACTAATCAAGAAAGCTTGAAATTGTACTTAGTGAGACTGTTTATTCCATAAAATCTTTTAAATTCCTTATTAACTTTTAAGTGTGTTAACCCCTTATATATTAACATACCACTTTACCATCACCTTCATTCACTTCTTGATTTTGATAAAGCTGAATATGTGTACTACTTGGTGTCAGAGACAGTATCAGATGAGTGTCTCACCAGGCCCATCTAAATACCTAAGAGGCCTAGTTTTTAATGGTCATTTATAGGATAGCAAAATACAGCTTGATAATATATCAAAATATGTATTCAGCTCTGGGGCCCCCAGCACGGGAGGATATTGACCTATTAGTTCAGGGGAGAGCCACTAAATTGATTAGAGTGCTGGATCACCTCTGCTATGAAAACAGGCTGATTGTTCAGCCTGGAGAAGAGAAGGTTCTTAGGAGACTTCAGAGCACCTTTCAGTACCTAAAGAAGGCATGCTAGGGAGGGACTTCTTAAAAGTACATAATAGGACCAGCAGCAAGGGCTTTGAACTGGAGGAGGACACGTTTACGTTTGAGATTAGGAAGCAATTCTTTACTGTGAGGGTGGTAAGACACTGGAGCTCATTGCTCAGAGAAGCTGTAAATGTCCTGTCCCTGGCAGTGTTCAAGATGAGGTTGGATGGGGCTTTGAGTAGCCTAGTCTAGTGAAAGGTATCCCAGTTCATGATAGAGGGATTGGAACTGGATGATTCAAAACCATTCTACGGTTCTATGAAAGTGTCATGGGAGAAGGGTGTTGAATTTATTGTTTTGCATTCCAGGCAAAGTTCAGCCTGTTGAGACACAAGTTTACCCTGCCTATGAGAATGAGAAGTTGTACACATTCTCTTCTATTTAATGATAGACTTGTTTTTAGACTAGTAATGGATTATATGGTTGCCACAGAAGTTGAGGCCATATTATTACTACAATTCAAAAAGTTAAGTTTCCTAGCAAATAAGTAGAACATATCTTCTTTGCATTAAGAAAGGGCCTTGGACATCTTTTGGAAGAGAGAATAAAAGTGCAGGTAACAGCCTTTTTGCAATGAATGTTGGGTCTGACTGTAAGTTTAAGTTCAGTACTCACCGTTTACAATTCCATGTGATACAAGCTGAGTACATCTTGGGATCCAGCTAGGATTAAACACCATAGGTGCTTTGTATCCTCAGGACAATCAACAGCTTCTAATTTAGTTGCAGTAAGTGCAAAGTTGTTGTTTCCACTGTCTGAATCAGCTGAATACAAAATTCGTCCTGATCTGAAAGTAAGTATGGTTGTATAATTTGCATTTACTTGATGAATGTTAAATGGGTTGTTGCCACTAAATCTCCAATGTTTTTGCACCTGACAGTCAGGAGTAGTGTTAAATAGTACATGAGCTGAGTGTCAGTGCTGTGTCAGTGCAGTAAGGTTTCAGATTGAGAGAACGGGGGGAGTTATGATTTGCTTCAGTTAAACATGAGACTGCCACTGTTCCATCCATCCCTGACAGAGAGTTCTTTTAGTCCCTTCTTACTCTTTTATACAACTAAGAAGCTGTTTGACAAAGCTCAGGAAAGACAGATTAGCTCTGTGGTAGCTCAGACTGTTGTTCATTCAGAGGCAGACCTAATTTAAGACATTTCTTCCCCCGTGCCTATCAGAGGTTTTCCCTTTGCTAGATGCAGTAAAATTTTCAGGTGCTTATGCAGGAGCTATGATCTGTGGAAAAAATATTTGATGTAGATATCATCATTATTTTGAGGGGAATCTGTATTCATGTTTGTGTGTTTGAGTAGGTTTTAAGTATTACAGATAATCTGTAGTTTAGACGCGGCTGCTTTCAGTTGTTGAGTTCAGCCTTAAAGAACTGCATTGCAGCTCCTTTACTGCAAGTCAGCGCATTAAAAATTACATGTAAATATAAATACTAGCAGAAAAATCTATTACTTCAGTGTTTGGTGCACACATGAATCAATAGAATGTAGGCTTGCTTAGTTTGTGTAACAAATTGCAGAGCTGTGTGTTGCTGCTTGAATGCACTCCATCCTAGAGCACTGAAAATAAGAGGTCCTGTCTGCTGAAAGGAAGGCAGGAAAGTTAATCAAGCATTGTTTTGACAAATTGTTCAACTTCCTTAAATATGCAAATGGTATATACATGTTGTGTCTATATAAAGCCAAATACAGTCAATACTTGAATAAGAGTAGGCTTAAAAGGTTTAGTAATCTGCACCTGGTAGGGTTTGCCTTTGTGGAAAATACTGGATTTTCTACAGGGCTTTAATGGACTTGTTAGAATCTAAGTAATGAATAAAAATATGGGATCTTACTTTCAGAGTTCAATTCGACTTATTTACTATTTATTTTTTTTCAGTCCATTTCTGTTCTTTACTGAGATTAATTTGTAAGTTTGTTTACAAATTAATTCAATGAGTTCCTCTTTCTGTTTGTTATTTTTTAGCTTAGAAATCTCAGAGTACTATTATGCTTTTTGCTTGAAGCACGTTCCTTTTCCAGAACAATCAGTATCAAGTCAGTCATTGGAAATTTGGATGTTTTTTTCTCTTTTTTTATAATTGCTGCCAGAGAGGTTTGACAGTCTTTGGTGTCAGACCTGAAAGTAGTAATGTTAAGATATTTGTGAATACTGAAAGTGGATGTTATGTTTATTGTTCAGTGGACCAAAAATACTGAAGAGGTTTTGTTCTCCGTGGGCCAAACTGAATGTTTTACGGTATGGAATCTGTGTGGCTGATCTTTCCTGAATGGAAATAGTATACGTGGCTCTGGATAGCAGTTACTTAGTCTGAATGTTAAAAGCTTTTATCATTGAGGAATTCATCTGACAAATTTCCCTGCTGTTGCTTGAGAAACAGAAATGTAAAAAAACAGTCAATTGTTTTAGTGCTTTTGTCTAGGGCTGCAACTTCGTTTCCTAAAATGTTGAAGCATATTGCAGTATGCATTTCTGAATACTACACTTCATGTAGTATGTGCATTCTACTTACCTGTCTAGTTCAAGTTGTAGATGAGGTCCATCTGTGTGTTCAGATGTGGACACATGCCTTCAACTGTAAAGTTTCATATGGGCCATTTCCTGCTTTAGACTGGGTTTGGACATAAACAACAGACTAGTTATCACCAATTCTTCTTTATCCTTCTGCTATTGATATGGGAGTGGTGCTCTTTTGCCTCTTCACCACAGGGTCCACATCTTTAAGTATCCTCCTCTGCCTGTCATATGAGCAGTTGAACTCTTATCAAGCATGGCAATGAATAACAGCTTTTCAGTGTGAAGTGTTGTGCACATTCTATGGAAGCATCCATGTTTCCATGTGTGTACATGTCAGCTCAAACTGTGTCCTAGCAGGGTACGTACATATTCCTCTTACTGCCCATCTTCGCCACAGTATGTTATTATTTTGATAGAGACCTGTCGCTTGCTGGAGGACAGGGTTTGTCAGGTTGCCAGGAGCCCCCATTTAAAGTGCTACAACTTCATGCATTCATTCATTCATTCACTGATAGCCCATCCAGAAGTACCTGCTGTCCCAGATGTGGTTTTTGTCAATGGGGATTTTCACATCTTATGAGAAGTTGCAGAAGAGCTGTCTGTGCCTTTTTGGGACAATAAGATAATATTTTTGTCCATCAGTGACGTGTGGTGACTTCAGTAGTTGATTATGATTGCCACATCCAGAGCTGGGATTGCAGATATGAGATAAAGGAGTAATAATGCTTCTCTTCGCAAACAACATTCCTCATTGCCAGTAAAACTGTAGAATTGTTGGATTCCTCATGGAATTCAAGAGCAGGCTCTCTTTTGCCAGGAGCTGAACCTCTTGTAAACATCCTAAATTGCCTGTAGTTGCAATAATTTTAGAGACTCTAGCCCATACTTCCTTGCTGCCTGTGACCATGTGAAAAAATATGAAAAGAGAAGAAGGTAGTAAGAAGAGCAGAGAGGGAGGGAGAAATTTGTTGTGAGCGACTTTGCAAAGTAGTAGTTACAGACCCTGTAAGCTCTTCTAAAGAGGGGGTTGATATTACAGTTGTGCTTTACCACGTTGACAGCTGAATTATGATGAACTCTTCTACTGTTGTCGCAGTTATGGCAAATACTGTAGAGTGTGCCTCTGGTCATAAAGACATGCTTTGAAAGTTTGAGGAATGGCAGTACTTCTTGTTGTTTCTGCAGCCTGCACTACTGACAACATAGTGTCCAGTGCTGACAAACACTTTTTTTTATTGTTTATAGTTAATACTTTATCAAATATTTTGCCCAGAGTGAAAGGCAACATGTATATTATTATAAGGAACCATTTGGCTTTTAGCTTCTGTTTAAAACACTCAGGAAAGCATTTTTGAAAACAAAGTTCAAAAGAGCAGGAAATCTTTTTTTTCATTTGAATTCTTTAAAATATTTGTCCCAAACTGATAACATCAGCTTTACAGGATATAAAAACCAAAGTGAAATTTTAAGGGAAATCTGTTTATCTCTCTAGTCATATTCAGTTTCTCAGGATGACAGTTTTAGCCTTTCAGCTGTACTGTTAAGTCTTCCTCTTAACAAGGTGAACTGTTAATGTAGTGTTTGCTATGGAATCCAGCACTGTTGAGGGGAACTCATAATTTTATAAACACAAATGTATGAGGCAAACACATTGACTTCTTGTTATGAAAGCAAAATGACCTAATGCATTATTATAGGTCTTGATTCTTGTGTGAACTTCTTGCTTCATACAGTTGAAAGCACATAGCATGTTAATGGGATTTCACGCATCACTAGTAAATTCTAGTGCCCAAAAGCATTTCATTTCAAAAGTTTTACTTTTTCAAGTCAAAGTGCAGGAAACTCCATTTCGGTATGTATTGCCTTTGGTTTGCAAAATTGATCTTTTCGTTGAAAGACTTGTGGTTTAATAGTAAAGCAGTGACATTTGTGAATTGCTGCCGTTTCAGACATTTTGCTGTGGCAGCAGTGGTTGGAAATGCAATGGCAGTGCAAAAGGGAGAGAGGATAATAGGTTCCAGAGACAAGCTGGCAAGTATGCTAGGGAAAGATTAGGCAAGCTTCCACTGAGCTACATATAGTTCTGAGATAAGTAGAGATGGTAGAATAACTGATGGTTTGTGTTAGGGGTTGTTAACTTACATTATTAAGGCAGTTTTTGGTTGTGTTGTTTTAGATACTTGCAGTAGGCTAGACCTGTTTGTGGAGATCTGTGTAGTTCTTGATGTGGGCCTACTAAGTCCAGGACAAATTTGCTCTGTAGCAGATTGCTTTGAAGTATTTGGAAAGTGAAAATAATGCATCCTGAGAGTCCTAAATTGTTGGGAAATTTTGGGGGGTGGGGAGGGGAAGGCTCACATTTTCTATGTTGTTGTCTGTCTGTATTTCAGTATTTTATCACATTGTTCATTATTAGGTAAACGAGGTTTATTAGATAAATGAGGTTCCAGTGAGTGAAAGGGACATGCAAGTCTCAGAGAATGTAGACTATGCAGTGAAAGTGCACTGATTATCTACACGGATCATAAAGTGGTGTGTTCACAATTAAATGTTGAAGTGAAATCTTCATGTGTCTTTGACTTTTCCCCTTGTGAGAATTTTCATACCTGGGTGTAGTTCTTACCCATTTTTCTTGGTTTGTCATTAAATAGTTTGGATTGTGAATTGTAAAGACAGCCTTTCAGTGCAAATTTTTAGCAAATTTTGAATTGGGTAGTATAGGCTCTAGTTCTTCTGATGTAGCTGAATTGCACCTGTTTGGAGACCTGCAGACTGTCTTGTGATTTGTAGTTCATTACTTTGTTCATTTAAAATCAGGATTGAGTCCTGATAGTCCTGGAGCTAAAAATCCCATATGCATGTTACATATTACCATTTTCCAAGTAGTCTAAAATGGAGAGGAGTCTTTGGAGAAATATAAGACAATGTTCTCAATTGTTTGCAGCTGAACAGTCAGTACAAATCTATTGCTAATGCAATAAGGGGTCACGTTTTTCTGGGAGATACTTCCACTGCTTTATCGAGTTTTCTGCAGAAGTGATGAGAAAGGGATGTTGAAGTGTTTTGCCGGCTTTCTTGATTGAGCACCATTTTTTCACTTGTGGGACTAGATTGCAAATCAAGGATTGAGTTCTTTGTTTTGATTAATTTGGAGTTTTGTTTATCTGTTGGCTGTTTATATGTAGCAAAGCATTTGCAGTGTATTCTCTATTGTGACAGTTAAAATCAGTGGTGTGCAGGTAGGACACATTTAAGTGTTTAGTGTGTCTTAAGTTTAGAAAAAAGTTTTGTTGTTTGGGGTTTTTTCCCCCTGTGGAAGTGCTAACTACCAGAACTGCGGAAATTTTGTGAACAAAAACTTTGAAGAAAATTATTAATAGTCTTAGAACAAAGTAAATAGCAACCCTTTTTTTTCCTTCTAAGTGAACGTTCTATAGTTCAAATTTCTACCGTTTGTCGATGAGCATGAGTAAATATATATATATATATATATATATATATATATATATATACACAATGTATACATAATATGTGCTATTACTGAACCTGAACTTCAGAAGGTTATTTTTAACCATGCTAATAGTAATAATATTTAATTTTTGTTCTTTGCTAAGTTTACTTAGTTTTCTATGCATATCTGTGAAGATGCTCAGTTAAAGAGGAATCCTTAAGGAATTGTTTCTTCATACACTTAATCCCTTGTATGTTCTGCAGCTTTATATATGCTAATAAACTGATTTCTGTTTTTGCCAGTAGCTGGTGGGATTTCAGAGATATAAAAAGCATTTGTTGTTTTTGTTCTTTATAGGTTGCAAACAATCTTTGCAAAATTTGATGAAATAAGAAACTCTGACAATATGATTTTAAGTAACATCAGTGGTGAGTATGAAAGATCATATATTTATAATCAGTTTTAAATTAATGCAAGATAAGTATTTAAATACTAGTATTGTCAATGTGAGATGGATGAATAGAAACATGTAAATGCTAAAAAAATGAGACACGTGGTGAAATAAGCTTGTGCACTTTACTGGCAGTATTTGCTGGATTGTGGTCAGAATACAAAGGTGTTGAAACTGCATGGAAAAAAGCAGTGAAAATCTAATGAGTTACAGATGTGCTCAGTAGAGGATAGAAGACTGCTGCAAAGTGTTGATGTATGGGAAAAAAGTCAGATGAACCTTTATCCTTAGTATGTTTCTAAGAGAAAAAATGTACTTTAGTGATGGGTGTGTTTGATATCTTCTCTATTAAAATGATGCATTGTGATTATAGTACATGGAGTTTTAAACTAGAAAAGTAGGAGACTGCAGTATTCAAAGACAATTATTGAAGTTACGACTTCATTGAGCTTGAGCTCCTAATTTTGGTGTATTTCAAGAAAAGACAGCATGTTATGCAGAGAATCCCCGTTGCTAACTACTGCTTTTTTGCTACAGTATTTTTTAGTATGAAAATTTAATTTAAAACGGTAAATTATGAAAAACCTTACATAACAGCAAACGAAGGAGATACCATGGCAGTGGCTTTAGCCATAGCCATAGTCAGTTTTGGAAGCCTCATTGCCTTCTGCAAGGAATCAGTAGATACTGTTTTATTGGGAAGAGTTTTCTCATGTTAATTTGTCTTTCAGATTGATTATGGTCTGCTGTATCTAGAAAGTCTAAGTATTCAAGAGGAGAAATATTTTGAGGAATGCATACAATTCCTTAATGTACTCAAATATACTTTTTTCATTTTAAAGTTTCTTATCCTTTTCTTGCTAGCGTGAAAACAGAAGTGCCATAGGTTCAGAAGAAAGTGGTTTTGTAACCTTTTTTTTGACGTAGTAAGAGTTTCTATGCTGCATTTTGCTTTGAAATAAAACATTGCTATTCCTAAACACTTAAAAATTTATTTGTAAAAATTTATATATTTTTTAAAAACCCAAAGCATTCTAATTTAGGGAAAAATGTTTTACATAAAAATGTAAATGTTTATGTTCTGCTAAATTGTAAATTTGCTCATTATGAAAGGGTAAACCATTATCTTTTGCATTTTACATTAATAGAGCTTGCATAGGTTTCATAGGTTTGAGATATTCAGATATGCATTTTACAGATGTATTTTTTCTGTTCGTATTTCTCAGGAGAACGGAGAAAGTCATACAGGGGAATATAAGTGTGGAAATAATTTAAATATATGAAAATATATATACCACATTGCTGGACTAGTTAACATAGCATTGCTGTCCTTTTTGTCTCCATTTAAGAGAGTTAACAAAGTTAACAAAGTGTATTTTGAAGTGATAAACAGAGATGTTAATGCTGATATATGACAATATAAACTATGTATTTTGTCTTGTAGGTGGCAATTTCTTTGCAAAAGTTACAGTGATTCTGTTTTGGTACCATAAATGACAGAATCCCTCTCAATACATTGGTTTAAGTATTTTTGCTTGAACCTAGTTCATCTGTTGCTTCCATCTGGGCAGTTTTTCAATGTTATTGAAAAGGTATTCTTCCACTGTTAGTGCTTTTTCTTGGCTTTATGCTTCATTATTCTCTGAAGGACAATTTGTATTTACTGCTTGCAGGTGTAGATTTAAAGTTACTGTTGTATTCCTGTAGTCTTGGTTCCAACTTTTCTTTCAGGAGCTTTATCAAACATCTTTGGATAAACGCCAAATTTTAGTGGCTAAATACAGCTATACATCTGTTACAATGTTGAGGTGGGTTTTTTGTTGTTTTTGTTGGGTTTGTTGGGTTTTTTTGCCTTTGGCTATTTTGTAGTAGGGTTTGGGATGGTAGGGGGGAAATAGGGTTGTCTTTCCCAAGCGGGGGAAGACAGAGGCGGGATGGAAAGCACAGAAACATTTCAACTGGCTTTAATATAGTTAAACTCCATAATGGGTCTTCTTAACAGCAAAAGGAATGGCTTTTTGCCAGGTGGAGTTACTGTCCCAAGTAGGGTGACTGTACTACTAGGGGTCCTGTTTGATGTGTGATGGATAGGGAGGAACTTGTTGATGCAAACTTGGAAGATGTCTTCTTCATAGTCCTGAATGACACTGCTGTGGTAGTGAATATTTGGTGTGTTCACAGAGTTTCTGAGAATCCAGAGATGTGGCTTAGGATTCTTTCATCAAATAATACTAACATCATTTGTTCAGTCTTGTTATCCAGCATGTACTTAAGAAGAAAAAAATAAATAAAGAGTCAAAGCTTGCAGCTTTAAATAACCTGAATACAAAAATGTTTTCCATACTATATTGTTAGTCAAAACAAATGCATATTTTAAAAAATATGTTTGTACTAACATGATTTAACACTTGAGAATTTTAAAATGCATCATGTTGGTATGCTTAGGGATGTGGGAGAAATACAGGTAGAAGAGGAAAATGTTTCCTTCCTGCCATCTTAGCACACTGATAGATTTAATATCTTACCCTTTTGAGTGTGCTGGAGGAGACCTAGTGAGAACAGTCGCTTTAGTCTTGTGTTACCTTTCTCCTTTATTGAATCTGATCTGTGATGGAATCATAAAGAGAAGGAGGAGAGCAAGGGACTTAGGGACAGCTTTAAGCATTAGGGACTGACAGACCCTCTTGGAGGGTAGACGAGATGGAAAGCACATTGAAACACTTAGGGGTGGAATAATTGGGGTATGATGTAAAGAGGAGTTTCAAAAGCCAACACATGAGGAGGTATCATGTCTAACAAGGGAACTGGGCAGGAATCTTAGTGCTTTTGCTTGATGAGAGTGGCTTACAGCCTTAACTAATATCCCCGCTAGCTTGCTTCTCCAGCTGACCTTTGATTTTTTTTATTTTTTACTCTCAGATGTGTATAGTAAAGTCAGAGATAATTTCTTCAATATGAATCATGTGGATGAATGAGCTGCTATGCAAACCTTGGAATTTGCTTACATTCATAATGACGATATTAAAAGAATAATATCAGGATGTTTTCCTGTTAAGCAATGTCTTACATGTGCTGCTGGTTTTGCCCTTTCACACCGCCAGAACTGTATGTAGCCTTCAAAACCGGAGAAGATTTTATAAAGCACTCCTCCCATTTTTCAGCAAGGGAATGTTCATTTCTATGGAAACAGAACTGGCAGCCAATCCCAGCCCTATAAAAACATTTGTTTCTGCTGCCTGAGATTTGTAAATACTGTTTTCTCTAAGAGAATTCAAGCAGACTCCTGTATCGGATAGTAGTGTTATTATTGAGACAGAGAATTAAAACAAAAGTAGGGAAACTACTAATACTGACCTCCCTGCTGCACTCAGCAGAATGATTGAGCTGAAGATAAATCATACATCTCTATGCAACTCGTGCACTTTTTCCATTTTAATGTTTCATGGCTCAAAGGACTGGCTTTACAAATACAAAATGTGACAGGATGTGTGATGTTAGTATCATGGTGAAGCGGAGCTATGTTATGGGTGATAAAGATGCAGCTGAAATATATGCTCTGCTGGAATAAAAAGGGGCAAATAAAAATCCATAGCAGTAGTGTGTATCTGTTTTTCCACATCACACTATTGCTTTTTATTTCCCTTTGCTGTTTTCTATTTGGAAATATAGTTACTATGGAGACAGTGACAACACGCTCTTAATAGAGCTCACCAGTGCAGCAAAACATGAATATATATCATGTGGGAATACTGGTGATAGCTGCTGTGATTATTTTATAAAGGTTTTGAGCCTCGTGTATTCCTTTGGCTTTCTCAGTGCAAGTGGTCAAAATGTAGCCACATCATTTTCAATTTCGGCTCTCTTCCCGATGCCTTATAGTCTTAAATAGGAAAATTTACTGACCGGTAAAGTGGTATTGGTCAGTTCAAGCCCATTTGGAAGTAAAGGGCCTCATCAGGCTGATGCCTACGCTGGTCTTAAGGAATTTGACTGAGTTTTTGGATTATTACTGCAGGGAGCTGTGTCTAGCTCGTTGCAAATGCGTGGTTCTCATGCTCTGTGCAACAGCATATGCTACGGTTTTCTTGAGTTTTAAACTTTTCTATTGGGAAGACTAAGTAAATTGGTACTACTTATTTGCTACTCTTTTATCATTGTTGGATTGCACTCTCTACCCTCAGCATGTCGCCCAAAACGTAGATTCGGGTACAAACTCTGATCCATAAGCTCAGGCTCTGGGCAGGCTGTCATTGAAGCTTGCCAGCATGTGTTGCACGCATGCTTTGGAAGGTGGTCCAAATTAGTCTTCCGAAAACTCAAAAAACGAGGCAGCACCTTTCTTAAACGGAGCCCTTTCCTACTTCCTGTGGCTTTATTATTTTGTTTTATTTCGTGTCATGTTACGTTTCGGTTGATCTTTGTTCTGTGGAGTGTTCGTCCTTAGCCAAGGCTGCTGCTTCTCCTCTCCGCTTCATTTTCCTTGGTGGTAGTGCGGGGAAAGGCTTCCCCCTGGGGATGTGGGATGTCCCCTCGTGACTGGGGCTGCAGCGAGGCCGGTGCTTTCCGGGTGCTGCTAGGCGGCGGGGGGACCCGGCAGGTACATGACGGCGGGGGCGGAGCGCCCGGGGGGGCGGGCCGGGGCCGAGCCGGCGCAGAGGCTCCCTCTCAAGGCGGGACTGCTATTTTGAAGCGAGGCGGCGGCTGTAGCGGCAGGGAGCCGGCAGGAGTCCGGCGGGGATCCGGCCAAGACCCGCCGCGCCCGCCCTCCCGCCCTCCTGCGGCACCGCCGGGCATGATGGCTGTGGGAGACGGTGAGTGGGGGACCGCCGTGCCCTTGGGGAGCGGCGCAGGGCTGCAGGGGCTCTTGGCAGCCCGGGGGGGCTGGGGAGGTTGGTATGGCAGGTTGGCACCTTGGGCTGACGGGCTTGGCTTCCGCCCGAGGCGGGCGTTTGACGATGGATGCTACGTGCGGCAGCT